AAACACAAATACAAATACAAATACAAATACAAATACAAATACAAATATAAATATTTGTTTTCTGAGGTTTTCACAGGTGTTTTTATGTAGGTCTTTGGTTATTCGGGTTTTCTCCTGCGTAAAATTGGAAGTGTCTTGACGACGTTTTGACAAAGTCTCATTTGTCATCTTCAGGCTTGTTTGCTCAGCTTGGTGCTTCCAGGAGTAATGGTGCTTTCAGGAGCTTTGCTCCTGGAAGCAACAAGCTGAGCAAACAAGCCTGAAGATGACAAATGAGACTTTGTCGAAATGTCGCCAAGACACTTCCAATTTTACGCAGGAGAAAACCCGAATAACCAAAGACCTACATATATTATTTGGAATATATACATATACTTATACTTATACGTATACTTATACTTATACTTATACTTATACTTATATCTATCTATCTATCTATCTATCTATCTATCTATCTATCTATCTATCTATCTATCTATCTATCTAGGGATGCAGTGGCTAAGACACTGAGCTTGTCGATCAGAAAGGTTGGCAGTTTGGCAGTTCGAATCCCTAGCGCCGAATCCCTAGCCCTAGTGAACTCCTGTTACTTGTCCCAGTTTCTGCCAACCTAGCAGTTCGAAAGCACGTAAAAATGCAAGTAGAAAAATAGGAACCACCTTTGGTGGGAAGGGAACAGCGTTCCGTGGGCCTTCGGCGTTGAGTCATGCCGGCCACATGACCCTGGAGACGTCTTCGGACAGCGCTGGCTCTTCGGCTTTGAAACAGAGATGAGCACTGCCCCCTAGTTGGGAACGACTAGCACATATGTGCAAGGGGAATTTTTACCTTTACACACACACACACACACACACACACACACACACACACACACACTAATTTAAATCTATATGTCGCCCATCTCAGTGTCAAGCGACTCTAGGCAGCTTGTAACAATATTAAAAATACAAAATAAAATGATAAAAGCATCCAATTATCAAAAACCTGCAGCAATTAAAAACCTTCATTGCTGCCTTTGGACTTACAAGCCACATTGGCTCATTCTAGATATGTGTGTAGAAAGAACTCCAAATGTCCGGATTATATAATTCTACAATTCCTGGTTTTCAGATTCGAAGTTCAGCATCTCTGCCTTGTTTCATTCTGACCAGACTCTAAAACAGGTTGAAATCTATTTTTACTGCCTTGAGGTCTAGAAACCTGATGCGCCTTGTTAGCGACTGGCTATTGCATTGACCTGAACTCGGGCCCAGTTTAGACAGCATTTCAAGGGGCAGTAAGAGCTTAAAACACCTTGTCCGGGCAAAATCAGGAAGATTTGGGATGGAGAAACACCCGCCGTGTCTTGCTAATATTCTCTTAAACGTTCTCCCTTTCAGTCTCTCTGATCTGGCTGCCTTCCGCCATTTGATCACCGAGAAATACAACTTGACAACAAACCACACCTGGATTTGCTTTGGAGGCTCGTATCCTGGTTCTTTGGCTGCCTGGTTTAGGCTTAAGGTAGGATCTGTTGTGGCCCGCAGGCGGCCTGTGGAACTGGCCGCAGAGATGGACAGTGAGGAGGTTGGGGAGGAAGATGGGCCAGTCCTGGAGCCTGGGGAAGGCTCGGACAAGGGCTATGCATCAGAGACAGAGAGGGGAACAGGGCCATCTGGGAGTTATGTGCTGCCTCTGGAGCGTCCAGAGTCTGACATCAGCGAGGCAGAAGAACAGTGTGAGCCTGTTCCCTGTTCTGGCAGAGCTGCCAGAAGGCAAGAACAATTAAGACAAAAAAGGGAGACTCAGGAGTAAGGCTTGGAGGTGATTGGCCCCTCCCATAGGACATAAAGGAGGAGCAGGAAGCAACTTTGTTCGTTCTGGTCGGTTAAAATTCTGAAGCTCCGTTTTGACTCTGTGCTCCATGTGGCCTTGCAAAGCTAATTTCCAATTAGGCCTTCGGCAGCATTTCAAGGGAGATAAAGGTGGGTGCTTATCAGCCTCGTCCTGAAAGACTTTGGCAGACTTCTGTCGGACTCTTTACAAACTATTTGGGACTCGTTACGGGCTGCGAATGAACATAATTCGCAGCCGTTGAAATAAAAAGAGGGTTTTGGGGACGAGGCGTGTGCTTTTTACTGCGCCAGGAAACCTAGGTTAGAACAGGATGTGAGACCACTTAACGACCGCAAGAGATTGTGCCGGGGTTGTGATCGTTGAGTGAAGCAGTCACAAGCGAGACATTTTGCTTTACAATTGCTCTGCTCAATGACTGAGATTGAAATCTCAATTGTGGTCGTTAAACCAGGATGAGCTGTAGGGAATCAAACTCTTCTTGCAGAAACTGGAGCGTTGGAAGGAGGGGGGGTGTGTCACGTTAATGGCTTCTTCTGCACATCAGAAACGGCTCTGAGGTCAAAGGCCAGGGCAAAGTTAGTTGAAAGGCCACCTCTCTTCCCTCGCCAAAAATCCCAAAACTCACAAGGGAAATATTGTTTTTCCCCCCCATTCCTTTGTTCACCTTCCTTCCTTCCTTCCTTTCTTCCAGTTTCCCCATCTGGTCTTTGCCGCCATCGCATCGTCAGCTCCAGTTAGAGCCGTGATGGATTACACCGGCTACAACAAGGTCAGTTTTTGCCGGGCGCCCCAAAATAACTCTCTGGATTTTGAGATGTTCGTTTGGAGGTTAAAGCCACTTCGTCAGAAATTAACAGATTGGTCTGCAGAGTTTGCTGAAAAGCAATATATATATATATATATATATATATATATATATATTGGAAGAGAGGAAGGAGGGGCGGGGGAGGAAAGCAAGCACCATAATTTATTTCTCTACTAGCTGATAACCCAGCGCGGTCCAGCTATCCACAAACGTTTTCACAATTCCTAATGTTGGATTTCCACCACCACCACCACCAGAGGGAGCCCCCTTGTGGAATACTGTGACGCCGTTACTATGGCAACTCCACAGCCCTGTACCGTAGTACGGCCATTTTAAAGCAGTACGGTAGAAGCCATTTTAAGGCACAACAGGCTGTATCTTAACAGAACCACCACCACCCCCGAGGGGTGTCTTACCCCCCACACTATTTGTTTCCACAGAGTAAGTCATCTGTGTGGTTGAAATTGCTTGAGGCGTTCCAGAGGTTTGCTAGAATACACACACACACATGCACAGCTGTTTATATATAGATAGATATAGATATAGTTGTTTTAGTATGGGCCACTTTAAGATGTGTGGACTTCAACTCCCAGAATTCAGCAACACCAGCTGAAGAATTCTGGGAGTTGAAGTCCACACACTTTTAAGCTTAAAAAACACTGACCTGTGCACTGTGCTTATCCAATGAAAGAGTCGCCTATGTATTTCATGGAAGGAAACAAAATCAGTGTTTTCCACTGTGTAGGAGGGAAAAAAAGGAGAAGGAAGGTAGCATGATTCATGCACAAACTTAGTTCTTATCTATTTGTTTTTAACACATTGGTTAGCCACAGGAAGTCTCTTGCGAAACCTTCCCCTCCAGATTGAAGCTGCAATGTTTTAGAAAAGGGCTGGATCATCATACGTTGGAGAGATCCCGTAAATGTCGTTTTTTCCTCTCTTTTTTTGCTTCCATTTCTTTAGGTTGTCGCTGCGAGTCTGTCGAATCCAGTGGTGAAAGGTTCCAAAGAGGTCAGTTGTCTCAAAAAAAAAAACCCATTGTAAAAAGAAAATGTTTGCGTAAAATAAGAACAATACAAATTTAAGGAACAAGAAAATAAAGCAAAAGTGATAGGAAGGAGGAAGGAAGGAAGGAAGGAAGGAAGGAAGGAAGGAAGGAAGGAAGGAAAGGAAGGAAGGAAGGGATTCCAATCTTCTTTACAGCAGCTATAAATAAGTTTATATTTTATCCTTTTAGGTTGCATCCCATCGTCTCCCCTTTCTAATCATTAGAGCCCCTAAAGTACAAGATTCTTTTTTTCCTCAATTTTTAGCAAAAAATCAAAAGCAAACAAATTGACACGTCTGAAATNCATGAAATCCAGGTGGGTGACTTTGGGCCAATCGCCAGGAGACAGGGAGTTCTAGTCCCACCTTAGGCATGAAATCCAGGTGGGTGACTTTATGCTAGTCACTCTCTCTCAGCCCAAGCCACCCCCCAATTTGTTGTTTTGGGAAAAAGAGGAAGGGGAAAGAGTATTTTCTGTATTTTACAGCCTTGAGTTGTTTATAAAAATAATAAAGGCGGGATAGAAATGAATAAATAGACGAGGAAACAAGTAAGAACAGAAGATTGGCAAAGGGTCAGCTGAGAAGACAAACTAATACTTCTTCGAAGTTAGTAAAATTTGCTCTTTTTCCCCCCCCCCCTTCCTTTCTTTAGCAAATTACTTCCTGGGTTGGCAAATGGCTGAATTTAGCAAAAATTCACTGAGATAACCTGCGTACACAAGAAAGAAAAGTATTATGCGTAGCTAGTGATACGAAGCAAAGCTGTTTCGACTCGCCTTCACTTAAAGAGACTTTCACGAAACTCTTTCGCCACACACCAAAACTACCTCTTTTTGCCACCGTGGCTTGCTTTTTTAACTTTTTTAAAAACAACAACACACTGCTTTCCAAATGCACAATTTTTTTAAAAGAAACGAAGATTTTTTAATCCTCGCTGGGCTGGCTTTGATTCTGCATCGTGTGAAACTTAGCCCGCGGGGACAAAATGTAAATTTATAACAATAAAAACCATGAATTTGATAAAACCGCAGTTAAGCATGTTGTGCCTTTGGGGTGTGTGTGTGTGTGTGTGTGTGTGTGCTGTGATTGTTGTGAGGTTTGCCAATGAAGTCACACCTCTTTAAGGAAACAGAAGCTAGAGAAAAAAAGTTTGCCTATTTAAAAAATAATAATAATTAGTGGCTTGCGATAGAAGGAAATTTAGCCATGATGAAACTTTTTCCCCTTTATAGGTAAACCTTGCCTTACAATCACCATTGGGCCCAAAACTTCCATTGCTAAGTAACGTTGGTCGTTAAGAGAGTCAGGCTCAATTTTATGACCCAGGCCAGGCTGTTCTTAAGCCAATCCAGCTTTATCCATTGACTTTCCCAGTTGGGGAAAATTTGGATAGTTATAATTTCCCAATTAAAATTTGGATATTTATAATTAGGATATTTGGGTCATGATTTACAACTTTCCCAGTTGGGAAAGTTGTAAATTATGACCCAAATATCCTAATTATGAATATCCAAGTTTTGATCACGGTTCCACAGACAACGTGATGTTTGCAGAGAAGAAGCAGCATTCAAAGATAGACTCAAATCATCAATATTTAGACAAATACTGTCTCTACGGCCTATGGCCCCGCTCAGTTGAGGCTAAAACCTAGGAAAAGGTTTTTTAAAGGTAAAGATTCCCCCTTGCACAGATGTGCTAGTCGTTCCCGACTCTAGGGGGCGGTGCTCATCTCCGTTTCAAAGCCGAAGAGCCAGCGCTGTCCGAAGATGTCTCCGGGGTCATGTGGCCGGCATGACTCAACGCCGAAGGCTCACGAAACGCTGTTCCCTTCCCACCAAAGGTGGTTCCTATTTTCCTACTTGCATTTTTTACGTGCTTTCGAACCGCTAGGTTGGCAGAAGCTGGGACAAGTNAAATCACTTGTATGACCTTGGGCCAGTCATTAGGCGATTGGGATTTCTAGTCCCACCTTAGCCATGAAAGCCAGCTGGGTGACTTTGGGCCAATCCCCAGTAGGCATTGAGATCTAGTCCCACTTTAGGCATAGAAGCCAGCTGGGTGACCCTGGGCCTGTCATCAGGAGACTGGGAGTTCTAGTCCCACTTTAGCCATGAAAGCCAGCTGGGTGACTTCAGCCCAATTCCCCGGGAGATGGTGACTTCTAGTCCCGCCTTAGGCATGAAAGCCATCTGGGTAACTTTGGGGCTAGTCACTCTCAGCCCAGCTCCCCTCACAGGTGGAAAAGGCGAGGAAGAAAATGTGTTGGAAGCGTTCCCCGCCTTGAGTTATTTGTAGAAATAAACCAGAAGGGACGCCGATTCAATGAATAGATAAAAGAAACCCAGAGGCAGAATTCCGACGGCCCTTCAGTCACCAGGATGCCCCGGGTCTTATCTCTGGTAGGTCATCCTGGAGCAGTTGGGAATGCCATGCCTGCAAAACTCCCAGGCGGAAATTGTGGAGGAGTTACGCAACAGCAGCATTGGGATGGCCTTCCTCGCTATGAGACAGTGGTTCTTCCAGACCTGCACAGAATTTGGCTATTGTAAGTGAGCATTGAAAGAATTCGGGTCTTTTCCCATCCATTCAGCCCCCCCCCCCCACTTTACTCTCCTTTGCCAGCCCACCTGAGCTCTCGAAACTGCCTCAAAATCTGTTTCCAATGTGCTTCGATTGTCCTCCCCTCCTCTCTTTTTCAACCTCTCTCTTTCTCTTTCAACATATCTCTCTTTCTATTTTTTTTTATTTTTTAACATTTTTATTAACAAACATGTAAAATACACACACACACACAAATTAGACGTACGCCACATTTATACAACACACTACGAACAGGATAATAGCAATTATCAATCGATACCGCTCACCTTATATTATTTCCCCTTCTATTNATCAGTGCTAGAAAGTAGTGTGGTTTGTTGGGAGAGGAGGAGGAGGGTGAAGGGAGGAGGAGGAGAAGGAGGAGGAGAAGAAAAGTGAGGAAGAGGAAGACTGTGGGGTCCTTGGTGCTCTCTGAGCTTGGTGGTTTTCTTACAGACGTTTCATAACCCAACTAGGGAACACCATCAGGGCTAGGAGTAACACTCACAATGTTCCCTACTTTGGGCCATGAAAGATCAGCAAGAAAACCACCAAGCTCAGAGACCACCAAGGACCCTTCAGACCGGCTCGCCTTGAAAAACACAGCGTGGGAGAGAACCTTGCCCGATTTCTGGCCATTTTGTTTTGCAACAGAGGCCCAGATTGTATGTCGTCCCTGGTATCTGACACTCCTCGACTTAACGACCGTTATTGAGCCTGGAATCCCTGCCTGAGACTGACTGGTTTTCCCCCCTCTTTCATTTGCTTTCTTTCTTTTTTCAATCCTCTGCAGGGAACATAGACCCTTGGTACCCCCTCAGTGTCCTCAAGAACGAGTCCGATTCGGAACCGGCTATTTTAATCAACGGCACCTCTCATTGTGCCAATATGTATTCTCCGGCACCCGGCGACCCTCTGTCCCTTATCCATGCCAGACAGGTGAGGCTGCCGAAGGAGGCCGAAGGAAACAGAGGGGGCGGGGGAGCGGAAATCGCAATGGGTGGCATAATCAATTTTTAAAAAATCAACAAATAATCATTCTGACATCGAGACCTCCCCCTCCCATGAGGTGTTCCCATTTGGGCTTTCAATTTGGGGCCAGGTGAACCCTTTTCCGAATAAAAATAAGTAATGAAAGTTATTCAAATGGTAAGCACCTGCTAGAAACTGTGGGGCTGGGAGTTCTAGTTTTACTTTAGGCATGATAGTCAGCTGGGTGGGTTTGAACCAATTAATAGAAGGCAGTGGTTGTCGTCCCGCCTTAGGCANTTGCTCTTCTCTGCACTCTTTCCAGAGTCTCCGCATCTTTTCTACATCGTGGCGACCAAAACTGGATGCACTACTCCAAGCGTGGTCCTCTTACCAAGGCCTTATAAAGCGATACTAACACTTCGCCTGATCTTGATTCTTATCCCTCAGTGTAACTGCATAGTAAAATATTTCCCGAAACGGCTTTTCCTCCCATTGCAGACCAGACCTGCGAGGACCCAGACTGCCCCTTCTCTCCCCGAATGACATTGGCCTCCCAGTTAGAGATCTGCTCTCAGGTTTACAACATCTCCTACCGCAACGTCAGCGAAGGGGTCTCTTTCACCAATGACTATTACGGGGCCAACCATCCCAAAGCCAGCCGAGTTCTCTTCGTGAACGGTACGAGGATTGGTCGCTGGGGGTGTGGGTGGTGGTGGTGGGGTGACCTCTGCTTTGGGAAAGCTTAAAGGGGTTTGGAACCAGGAGAGGAGACCACAAGGAAATCCCAGGGGGGGGGTTGCAAAACGCTTCTGCCAAGACATGGCGACGGGGCCACCACGAGATGGACAGGGAGCTTCCAGCAGCCAAGCTTGATACCTAGAGGGGTTTTTATTTTGCTGAGAACGGAAAATACGTCAGCTCACTAAGAAAGGAGGCTATTTGTAGCTCCGGGCTGACATGAGGGGGAGATCTTGGTGCTCTCTGAGCTTGGTGGTTCTCTTGCAGGCGTTTCATGACCCAACTAGGTAACCTCATCAGTGCTAGAAGGGAGTGGGGTGTGAAGAGGACGACTGTGGGGTCCTTGGTGCTCTCTGAGTTTGTTCGTTCTCTTGCAGGCGTTTCATGACCCAACTAGGGAACATCCTCAGTGCTAGAAAGTAGTGGGGTTTGTTGGGAGAGGAGGAGGAGGGTGAAGGGAGGAGGAGGAGGAGAAGAAAAGGGAGGAGGAGGAGGACTGTGGGGTCCTTGGTGCTCTCTGAGTTTGGTCATTCTCTTGCAGGCATTTCATGACCCAACTAGGGAACATTATCAGTGCTAGAAATGGGGTTTGTTGAAAGAGGAGGGGGGAAGGAGAAGGGTGAAGGGAGGAGGAAGAGGAAGAGGGGGAGAAAAGGGAGGAAGAGAAGGAGGAGGACTGTGGGGTCCTTGGTGCTCTCTGAGTTTGTTCGTTCTCTTGCAGGCATTTCATGACCCAACTAGGGAACATTATCAGTGCTAGAAATGGGGTTTGTTGAAAGAGGAGGGGGGAAGGAGAAGGGAGAAGGGAAGAGGAAGAGGAAGAGGGGGAGAAAAGGGAGGAAGAGAAGGAGGAAGACTGTGGGGTCCTTGGTGCTCTCTGAGCTTGGTGGTTTTCTTGCAGGCATTTCATAACCCAACTAGGGAACATTATCAGTGCTAGAAAGTAGTGGGGTTTGTTGGGAGAGGAGGAGGAGGGTGAAGGGAGGAGGAGGAGGAGAAGAAAAGGGAGGAGGAAATGGAGGAGGATGATAACTGTGGGGTCCTTGGTGCTCTCTGAGTTAGTTCGTTCTCTTGCAGGCATTTCATGACCCAACTAGGGAACATTATCAGTGCTAGAAATGGGGTTTGTTGAAAGAGGAGGGGGGAAGGAGAAGGGAGAAGGGAAGAGGAAGAGGAAGAGGGGGAGAAAAGGGAGGAAGAGAAGGAGGAAGACTGTGGGGTCCTTGGTGCTCTCTGAGCTTGGTGGTTTTCTTGCAGGCATTTCATAACCCAACTAGGGAACATTATCAGTGCTAGAAAGTAGTGGGGTTTGTTGGGAGAGGAGGAGGAGGGTGAAGGGAGGAGGAAGAGGAGGAGGAGGACTGTGGGGTCCTTGGTGCTCTCTGAG